AGGATCACTGGACGGGCGAACGAAACATAAAGGAACAAAATCCATGCGTAATATGTCCACAGAAGCTTCCACATGAGTGATTCGGTTACCTCCTCGTGTTGGATGTACGCTCCATTACACTTTGGGTCTGTTGTAACGTTCGGGTGAACGATACGACCGGACTAGTCTGAACCGTGACCCAAACAGAACGAGCGGTAGGATTGACCACGAACAGGAACCGTAACGATCCAGTGACTGAGTGAACACACTACGAATACGCCCGACTACTGCACCCAGCGCAATTCTCAAGAGAACCGAAAGAAACGCCCAACGAGAGTAGTACGATCCCGGAACCCAAACAGAGAGAGGACGGAAGAGAAGCCTTCGGGCGAGGTCGTGTATTTCGCTTGACCCAAAAGGCGATGGCTATGGACAACTCATCTGTTTATGTACAGTTTCGGGACCGGCCAGCAATGGCCTTGAAAATCAGCTTGAAAGCATAGAGTTATAAAAGTGTGGACCAGGATCGAGTATGGCTGGCGGTGTGGACTGCGGCTTTTCTGGCGCGTAAATTCGAAGTTCAAATTTGATAAAAATAAGTAGGATAATGAGGGAAACAAAAAGGGAGTAGTTACTCTTATAGAAAAAAATGATCTTTCCCTTATGAGGATCAGACTGAGTCAAAGGTTCCGCTCAAGGTTGCTAAAGAAAAAACCTGTTTGCAATGTGGCAACCGCTCTCTACGCCGCAATTTATGATTATGATTGTACAACGGACAATACCAAGATCAGCCAGTGGAACCTTCATTGAATACATTTGCTGTGTAAGTTTTACACACGCAACCAGACTGATTTCTTCAACTCGTGATGTTTTTCGAGGCACCTAACCTTTGGACGGAGATCAAGGTGGTCAAACGAAAACCTGTAGAGAGGATGAATCCATGAAGAATCTTGAGCGTAATGTACAGTGATATCCTCAGTACCACTCGACCTTTTTCTTTCTGTACGCTATACTTGGGCAACAGAGTGATGATGAAGATGGTGATGAGTACTAGACCAGCTTCGCACATATCTCGGTTGTTTCTGTCGCCATTTGTTTTTCGTTTGCCACTACTACTACTAGTAGTAGTAGTAGAGGTAGAAAAATCCAATACCTTAGGTGTAGTTGTTTGTCGTCAGCAACCGCTCATTCGTAGGGGCGATACAAACCTGTTCACGGTTAATCTTCCTGTTATCCATGAGACGCAGACGCACCCTGTAGCGTGCCTCTCAACTCACCGTAAACTTGTAGCTCCCGGTGACAACTGTCTAGTTTATATGACTTCTCTGGTCTGGTTCGGCTCTGCGAAGCTAGTTGGGAACGTTAAGAATGTATGCATAATTCTCTTCAGATAATGCATTCCGGTGCGGTTTAATAAAATCAAAAGTACTTTATGTTGTGGTACAAATGGCTAATAGTGGATTCATTTTGACATCCACGATCTATATCAACACAAGGTTCCGTCTATTGTATCACTCATGGCTCGAACCGACCATAGATACGCAATCCTATGCCTCAGATGCTTAATTGTTTGAAGTATCAACGAAAGCTGTTCATATCATCTTATCAAGTGCCGCTATTGTCTTTTTCAACTACCGTTAACTCTGACAATGCAATTTTCATCCTCTCTTAGGTCTTTTGACAAATTTATCATTCGACCTTCGGCGAGCGCTATCGACGGGTAGCACTAGTTCTCCGCCTATCTCTTCTCGCACCCGGCCATCCGTTTTGCGGGCCCTTTACACTGTGGGTTTAATGTGCAAGCACTTTGCCTTGGATGATCTTCTGAGTGAGGACAAGCGAATGGTAAGGCGATATCCCCATCGCCAGACTGACATTTTCTCCCTGTCGTCAACCATTGACACCCATTTTGTTTCAGTTGTAATGTTTCAGAATAGATTTTGGATTTCTTACCATACATGTTACCGGAGTTTAGGATTTGACGAATTTGGAAAACTTTCGAGAATATCGTGTTCAGTTTTTACCACAATTGAAACAGATGTGAGATCACATCAGGATATTGAGTACTCCTGTTTTTCCCCACCACTTCGGCTTCTGTTTCCGTTGATTGGTATTTTTATGAAAACTAGTGAATTTTTGTTCATATATTCCCCATTTGATGCATAAATACATATCCCATACATATCCCATTTTTAGACCTTATTTTCAATAAGATATACTCCTTGAGTCATTCCACTGAGTGACAAGTATGATGTTCGAATCGTTTATTAACTTCCTGATCAAGAGAACGAGAAACCATTTCGTGCGTATCCTGTAAAATATAACTGATCTCGACCATTGATTTTAGTCACTAGTTCAGCGATGGGAGCTTTCACGGAAGGAGGCTAAACACAGGTCATCGGTGTTTTAACATTGCTTTTTACTCTGTATTACACGAGTCTGATGGGACGATCGGACAATCAAAGATAGGGCTGTCACATACTTGAACAAGTAGCTGGTCGGGGCTTTCAGGACGTGGAATGTGTGGTACACAGAGCATCCGATAGAGTGACAGAAATCGGAAGAAGACTAAACGTGATCAGAATAAGATGTCGTATAGTAATTTTAAAACTTACTGGAAGACTAAATCCTATTCAACACTCCGGGTGGAAATACTCGGTCGTAAATGGACATTTTGCGAAATCCAAGGGAATGGCAACCAGTCACTACCTAAGGCGCTCACTCCCGATCATATCGAGACTTATGGAACGATAATCACAGTTAGAACTGAGAGTGAAATAGTCGCATCATTTTTGTCTGATCAGACGTTCTAAGTCAAGAAAACAACAGGAGAACTCGAATTGCGTTGGGAGGACCAAATGTTTATATATATATATATATATATACATATATCAAACTCGTGCAACACCCTGACTTTCATCACATTTGTTCCTCCCAACGCGTGTTTCGAGTTTTTGGGCCTCATTCATGAGATTGAATATTATATCACTCCACTTCAGAAACAACCCCGCTCATTTTTTTACTTCTATTTTTCGAATAACAATACAGTTTACCATTTCTCAACTTCGACGAGGGTTTGTGGTGCATCTGTTATAACATAACAAAGCCTCAGTAAAAAAAGATCATTATAATTCATTCATAAAATAGGTCACAAACATGACACAGGTATAGTACTTCCATTTTGTGAATATTCTTTTTGTCCTTCATTATTTTTGAGCACCGGAGGCGGTCGCTTTTGCATGGAGTCCAACTAGTAGACTGTCCAACAGCACTTGCCACTTTTCTCTGATACATGCGGCGGGTAGGTAATCTTTCTCTATTTGCTGAATTGCTCTTTGGCCACCGTTACCAAATGGACGGGCGGCGCGATTTGATTCTTTTGGTAAAATCAATACATGCTCTGCTTTGTTGGGCGTTCAATAACTGCCTCATATCAAGTGACTTCAGCTGCATTTCAAATTGAGCCATGGCTTCCCAAACGGAATATCCTGCATATCGGCTGTGGAATTCTTCTCAGCTATGATCAAATTCATCCATTATCTTGCCTCGATATGGTCGAAGCACTTGCACAGATCAGGAACTGAATCATTGAATTTATGTGCCTCCCAAATGAGTTACCTCTCGGCTTCAAATATATGCCGAAATCTTTTGAATGTTTCATCCCGTTTGGGCATGATAACGCAACAAGTTGCTTGTTTAACGAGCCGCGCAAATCAGACCCGAATATTTCATTCAATCGGCTTATTTACTGTGCACTAAATACAAGAATAAAAGCTATTTAGAATTCTTGTATTGACCAGAAATACCCTCATGAGACGACAATCATTTATTAGATAGAATGAACTCCCACGCTGATTTACCTGAAGTATTAGCTAACATCTTGTTGATCGAATTTTTTCGTTACAAAGTGCTTGGCGTAACTGTATCCAGCTCGCTCACAGAGTGTATTTGCTATCAGGCTAAGGAGGTTAGTTATCAGTCGTCTGATATTATCGTCACAATTTGTGTTACTCATTAATCCGCTAGTGTTTGAGTTTTCGCCGAAATTTTTCTTCTCTTAGTGAGGAACACCGTTAGATTGCACGGACTCCATAACGCACCCTCCTCTAAGGATAAGATACTTTTATTCAAAGAGATCGTTATCCCAGTTTGTCACATTATCGTTGTGACAGAAACATTTTTCTGCACTTATTTTCTACACCTAGTCTACCAATACAGATGCATTTCTGGACGAGATCGTGGACACGCTTATCCTCTTTGCCGAGTATGCTGCAGCTCCATCTGTTGGGAATGATAAAACCACATTTCAGCAAATGACCGATGCTGACTTGTGTCGCAAAGCGATTATGGGTATTGGCTTTCTGGTATGTCGCCACGATCGCCTGTTGTGTGACAAGCATGTGAGCACTTTTTTTGCTCATTTCTTCACTGTGTTTCCGTCGTCGTCTCCAACCACTTCCCCGGGAACTAGTGGCCCCGGCAAGTTCCCTACCTCCTCATCTTACCACGAGGTTCAGTGCATCATTCTGGATAATCTGACACATTATCTCATGGACAGCGAACGTCAAATGCTTGCGGACAGCAAATCTTGTGAGTGAGATGAATGGTTAACATCGATATTCAGACAAACCCTTTATGCTCAGCTTTGGAAGGTGTAACGGGCTTTCAGAAGTTTTCACGACCGATAATAATAAAAGACTAAATGATTTAATGTACCATATCCATTAGCAATATAATTCGCTTTTCAAGTTAACAGTGACTTAATTTTCTTTAATTGCGCTTGGTAATATTCATTCACGGACGAATAATCAGTTCAGTTCAGTTTAAACAATTATTAACCATGCACTTTCGTGCGCTGGTTTTGGTTGCTGTCTTCNGGGAAGATTGAAAGTAGAATCGAAGAGAAAAATGAGAAATTCAGTGGACTGATGTTGCAAAGAAGTGGAGAAGATACACGTCCGGCTTTAATTTACATTAAGTATTTGTATGCACTTTGTCAGTCATTTTCTATGTCTTAACTGCCCTTGTAGAAGATACACCAATAAACATACTATCCAAATGCTACGTTGATTAGTACGTACTCTGTTCTTCAGGAACTCCTCCACATGAATGATATGACATCAGTAGCTTGTTATCAAATGTTTGATGGTATCTTGTGACATACGATCACTTTTCCAAAACACTCAATCAAACAAGTGAATGTCGCTGTCATGATGTGTAACGCGACAAGGTTTTTCCATTTAACCCATATGCGACACAACACTGTTTATATGAATGCAATCATTACTCATTGTCTTGGGTGATAGATTTTCCAGTGGTTTATGTTCTCCATCATCTTTTCCGTGCAGGGTCTGCGCGTCACAAATCGGAGTCTTTAAAAGAGCTAGCTGATCAGCGCTCTGGACATGGAAGTGCTGTGGCTCAAGAGTACCTACCTCTTGTGTTGAAGCATTGCATTCTAACTCAGTCACTTAATGTTCGAACGTCAGCATTGGGTCTGCTCTCAGTGATACTGCGACAAGGTCTCGTGCATCCGGTGCAAACGTTATCCTATCTGATTTGTCTTCAAACGGATCCGGACACTGGCAATCGGTCGCGAGCAACGCATTTACTAGCAGAAGCTGAGCGCAAAGTTCCCGGCTTCATGGCGGTACGTTTTTTATTAACCGCTTCTAGTTGTGTACGTTGCTCTCATCTGTACCTGATTCATTTCATTCACCTTTTCTATTGTAATTGACTGGTACAATAAATTTCAGTAGTTTTCTTTTTGACCGTTGGTAATAGTGCTCTCATTTACTGCCACCGTCAACTTGAGCTAATAGGTGTGAATTCCTGCGATTTCTGCTAGCTCTTTATAATAATTGACTTGATCTCTTTTTGGGGCATATTTCCGCACACTAAATTTTTGTTACGTGAATTCCTACGTTGTGCTTAAATTTGCTTGTGGGCTCATTTTTTGAATAGTCTCTTTCCTAGCTTTTAGAATTTATTGTTTCACTGACCATATCACTGCTTTTTCCTAAAAAGAATGCAAAAATGGTGTAACGATCCGTAAAAGCCATGTTTTTGTCACTCATCAAACCTGCGGCTAAACAAATAACAGCATAATGTTTTACTAGTTCGACCGAACAAATGATTTCTTATGTAATCACTGCACACACACACACACAGATGACTCAAACCATGTATGAAGCGATTGGCCCGCTAGTACACAATCGACAGTGCCGTCTTGCACGTTGGGCACAATTGATTTGACCACTAGCTGCAGCTTCTCCGGTTTTTCCATGATTTGTCTCGATAATCCCACATTCTGAGGTGGAGATCCAAAACCTGAGACGTCACGGAGCGCCGAGCTCCGATGGTCTTTCCCTATCTCTGCTTTAAAAATGATGGGATGAAGCTTGTTAGAGAACTGTAAGTTCTGCTCTCGCAAGTTCGGAACACCCAGCAGGTCCCATCCTCGTGGAAGACAAGAAGAGGATAAATTATCGTTGTTCTTAAGAACAACCTGCGCAATGCCAATCTGAGGATAAGCCGTCGACTCTGTCGATAGAGCACAATGGGACTGTTTGTTTTAGAATGGCATAGATAAGAAGTGTTCCATTTCACCTGTTCGCCGAGGTTGGCAATTTGTTTGCCAACGTTTCATCACCAGCCGAGGTGAAATCAGCAGTGCTTGTGAAGTGATGATGTCACCTGGGCTGGTGATGAAACGTTTGCAAACAAATTGCCAAGCTCAGCGAACAGGCGTAATAAAATTCCGTTCACCCGAGCTCCGAGAACCGAGTTTCAATACTTTGTCAACAGTGAAGAAATGTGTCAATCCTCAAGGAGCTGTATCGCCAGGGTCTATGACGGGGTTTCGTCACCCTTTGCCGTCTCCAGGGTGGTGTTCCAAAACCTCGACATTCTTCTTCAACTTTGCCGAGCAGGATATCCTACAGGTCGCTTTGTCCGGTCTAGCAAACTGTGAAATGGAACTCCTTCCACGGAACCGAGTTCTTGACTTAGAGATATCGCTTTGTTGATTAACAGTACACAGGCCGTCCAACATAATTTTAAACCACTATGTGGTCGTGGTCTTCAGATACTGCTTGCACATTACATCATTCTTATGCTAGGTGCTTGTAAAAGACTGATAGAAGCCTGTGTCCGCACCCATTCTTTATGGGTATCAGCTCAAAATATTTTAGAGCTTTAAGTAACACTGGAGGTTGGTTGCAACTGGAGGTGTTGCTGGAGAGGGAATCACAGTAGGAATAGTTAAACTCAAAACAACTTTTGTCAACCTACGACATCTGTGGCGTCGCCGTCACTTCTGAATTGCACCTGAGTGTATGACGAACCTCGTCGCGGTTCGCAGTTTTCTGCTTTATAGTTGGGAGAGCATTTCTCGTGTCTGGCGGGAA